GTGTTGCTTAACAATTGACAACGGGGTAAAACCAAGATCGAGGTGGGGAGTTCAGGAGGGAAGGCTTTCATTTAGCCAAGGAACAAGAAAATCTCTAGGCCTCGCTAAGTTGGGTGAAGGGACTATGGAATAGCCCAAATATATACATAATCACTCAGGCTTTCCTGCCCTTGTGAATAAATAGGGAAGGTCAAGAAAGGCAGACATGTTATGAATGGAACAGAATCCCCCAGGGAATTGGGGGTTAGTTAGGAAAGGGAGAAATTGGGGAAGAAGAAGTAAGGAAATGGATCCATGGTTCTCTGCCTGTTCTCAAAGCCCAAGAAACCTGTAAATCAGGGAAGACATTTGACATTGAATCTCACTCTGCTCTGGGAAGGCAAAGGTATCTATGGTCATGAGTAAAATTCTTTGTTGCCAAGGGTGTCAAATGTCCTTTCTTCCGTCAAAAGAAAAGAATCCAAACTTTGTAAAATAATTTAAAGAGGTTTATTCTGAGCCAAGTATGAATGACCATGGCCCAGAGCCACGCCCAAGAAGCCTTGAGCAAGTGGTCTAGACATGGTTGGGTTGCAGTTTGGTTTTATACATTTTAGGGAGAGAAGAATTACACATAAAGTCTTAACTCAATACACAGAAGGTGTACATTGGTTTGACCAAAAAAGGCAGGACATCTTGAAGCCAGGCATTACAGGTTAAATACAGGTGGGTTTAAAGACTTTTTGATTTGTAATCCGTTAAAGAAGGAGGCTTTGTCTAAAGGTTTGGAATGTTTTAAGTTAAGATAAAGAAGTCTGCTAATCTGAGACAAGACACTGTACATATACCAAGACTCAACTGATCTGTTAAGTAAATTGAGGACCTGCAAGTGTGGTTTAAACTTTATCTTGTATAGCCTTAGGCCTTTTAATGAGTTACAAAGGACATCTCCAAGAAGGAAAGTGGGCATGCCCAAGCATGTCTGACCTCCCTTCCCCTGGGGGGCAACTCAGCTTTAGGGTATTTGTGGAGTCCCCTTGGCCAAGAGGGGGTCCATTCAGTCAGCTGGGGGGGGGCTTAAGATTTTATTTTAGTTCACACTTCCTATCTTCCCAAATTCCCACAGCTACTTGAGTCTCACTTTTCTTTCTTCTTTCTTTCTTTCTTTCTTTCTCTTTCTTTCTTTCTTTCTTTTTAATTTTTTGAGACAGAGTCTCACTCTGTTGCCCAGGCTAGAGTGAGTGCTGTGGCGTCAGCCTAGCTCACAGCAACCTCAAACTCCTGGGCTCAAGCAATCCTGCTGCCTCAGCCTCCCGAGTAGCTGGGAGTACAGGCATGCGCCACCATGCCCGGCTAATTTTCTATATATATATTAGTTGGCCAATTAATTCCTTTTTATTTATAGTAGAGACGAGTCTCACTCTTGCTCAGGCTGGTTTTGAACTCCTGACCTTGAGCAATCTGCCTGCCTCGGCCTCCCAGAGTGCTAGGATTATAGGCGTGAGCCACCGCGCCTGGCCTGAGTCTCCCTTTTCTAGACAACTTATCTTGTAGGGATTTCAAGGATAGCCTGAACAGGTAGGTCACTCAGGTGTATTTTTTACCTTCTCTGAAAAGCAAATTCTCCAGACTTGTAAGAAACCTATTACTTGTCCTTGCAAGGGGTTTCTTACTTGTAAGAAACTTGTAAGTGCAGCCCCTTAGCATGGCTAGTGCTTACCAGATTCTTTCTCCCGCAGAAGGAAGCTTAGAAACCTTTGAGTTAGCTGAAAATATTTATCAGCTACATAATATATATTTTTCTTCCTATGTTTGCCTATTCTTATAATATCACAAGAGGCACAGCTACACGCCCACTCCCCACTTCTTGACAGTTTATTCTGTTCCCAGTGTAGAATGACATTCTCCCTGTTATCAAAATGATGTACGGAAAGTAAATTCACAGAAATAATCAAACCTCTATTTTAAAAATGCTAACAAAAAAAACAAAAAACAAAAAAACCCCACAATGATATGTTCTGATAGAATTTCACATACTTTAATAAGAAAATTGCTCTTCCAGAAACTCAACCATCTTCATATTGCAAAAAACACTCTGGTTCAGAGGTTTTCTTCTCTGCCCCCACCCCTCCCCACCACAGTTTCAAACATCACACTGCCTCGGTAGGTTTCAGCAATATCTTGACAAACTTCTCCTTTGCATTGGAAGGAAAAGTTTGGTTTTTGTGAAATACATTCATACGCTTGTCTTGCCCATAACCCATAGATTAAATACACACACATATTGCTTGCCGGGAGTTCCAGCTGTTTAGATTTTCACCCAAACATGTGAATAAAAACCGCAGGCAAAACAAGTACTGTCTCCCATACCTTTTATGGATTAACAAATAGCCCTAACCCGGCTGATGCCCGTTCTTAATTGGACTATGCTGTGAGGAGCAATTAAGCCTAAATGGCCACTTGCTGAGAGCTGGTGAAAGAAATGCTGCAGCTTGAGGCATTTGCATTCTCCAAACAGAGCGCATATGCTCCGCTTTGGTGCCCATAAAGAAAGGAGATTTACTTATTTTTTTTTTTTTTAGTGCTTTTAAAAATGAAAAGGAGCCATTGTTTCATGCACTAGGTGAAAATTATTCAAGGAAATTTTTTAGACATAATATAATTTTTGCAATTTTTGTGCAATTCAGAGATGCAGAGATGAAAGAGCTTTGTTTAAAACAAGGCAGCAACTGTGAGAGAAAGGCCTCGTCCCTCCCTCCCATCCACTGTGTGTCTCTGTCGCTTGTGCAGAGGACAGATCAGAACCGGCAAAATGAAGCAGAAAATGAGACAATTCCCTGGACACAAACGCACCCTCACCTGAATGGTGCATTACTGGGGAAGAAAAGTTCTATTAAAGAATATTCAGAGACATTATCTTTTTGTTAGGCAGACAGTAAGGGACTCCAGCCCTCCTGGGGACAAAAGTGGGTGCCCTGAGCAATTGCCACATGGGCTGGGGAAGGAGGAAACACCCTACCAATCTGCCAAGCAGAACTTAGTGTGCCAACTGCAAAAGAATGCAGAGGGTTCTCTAGCCCAGGGGCCACACAGCACAGGTACAATGTGGTCTGGAAGGCGACCTAGGACAACCTAAGGCTTAAATCTACATTGTGGTTCACCCCCAAAATGGGCTTTCAGAGAAGCTTCTGGGAGATCTGTATGCATAATAAGACAAAGGTCATATAACTCCCAATGTCTATCAAAGTGGTTTGAGGGTGATGTATGAACCATGAGGAGGGCCCCGTCCAGACCCAAAAAAGCAACACCCCAGACCATAACCAAGGCCTTTTTGTTACCACAAGGGATCTGTTCATTGTCTGAAGCAAATATATCTTGCTCTTGCACTATAATCTTATCTTTCTTTCCTCAATAAACCTCATTTCCTGCTTACCTTGCTCTTGGTGTGAGTGGTCATTCTTCAGCCCAGAGCACACCAAGAACCGACATTTCAGACTGCTGACCTGACAGTTTGGTGTGTGTTTTCACTCTCGAAAATGGAGGAGAACAAGGATAAAGAGGCTGAAATTGGACTGACCTGCCCCTGTCAGCACAGAAAGGTAATTGCTAGCAGTCCCCAGGACATTCTTTAACCACGTGGACACATATATTGTTGGCCTCAGTTACTGATATTTGCTATCGTTTTTATTTTCATCTGGACAAGGGATAGAGGAGGTAAGTTGGAATTTCCTCCTGAGCCAAGTGAAAATTCACTGGATAGGTTTTGTCATTGGTGCTCTTGCTTTTCCTCTGGGAAAAGGAGCAAATTCATTGCTTTTGTAAATGTTATATTCATCATGATAAAAAAATAAACTTTAAATGATCAGGGGAAAAATGAAGAAATGAGGAAAAAATCACTCCAAATCCAACTATCAAGAAATATCCATCATTTTTCATTCTGTGAACACCATTCTGAACATCTCTGTATGTACACAGAAGAAATAGGGATAATTCTACAAAACCAGGATCATAGTATAAGAGCTATATATTTTAAGTGTTCAGTTTTATTTTACTTCATTTTAACAACAAAAAACCCTGTAGTAATAATGATAAATTGTTAAACTTCAGAAAGTTTTTCTCTCCAACAAATTATTTGAACATTTAAAACATGCCTTTTGTTTTATAGTGGGCTTTCCTGTGCATCGTAGGTGTTGGGAGGAAAACTTTTCCTCTACCCACTTCGGGGTTGGATATTCAGAAGCCTGCAAATTAAGTGACAATAGATAGATTAACAGCAGAAATTTTAAGTTTATTTATACATGCACACAGGAGCACTCAGTAGTGAATAAGTCCCTGAATAGCCAGAGGTAAAGGTTTATATATCAACTTAACAAAAAAGGGGGAGAGGTTGGGCTTCCATGGGAAAATATGGAAGGTTCTGTTTGGCTCTTTGATGCTAAAGGCCAGCTGAGTTTGCAATTCCAGTGCCAAGGCTAAGTCTTCTCATAAACAGGAAACTACTATACCTCAGAGAGAGGTCAAAGGCAGCTGTATTTTCAAGAGACTCCCCTTAAGTTTAGGTGCTGTTTCTGTGGCTACTGGTTGTTCAGGTGTTTTCACTCTAAAGTACTTTTCAGTCCAGGCGAGGTGGCTCACGCCTGTAATCCTAGCACTCTAGGAGGCCGAGGTGGGCAGATTGCTTGAGTCAGGAGTTCGAAACCAGTCTGAGCAAGAGCGAGACCCCCGTCTCTACTATAAATAGAAAGAAATTAATTGGCCAACTAATATACATAGAAAAAATTAGCCAGCCATGGTGGCACATGCCAGCTACTCGGGAGGCTGAGACAGCAGGATTGCTTGAGCCCAGGAGTTTGAGGTTGCTGTGAGCTAGGCTGACACCACGGCACTCACTCTAGCCTGGGCAACAAAGTGAGACTCTGTCTCAAAATAAATAAATAAATAAAATAAAGTACATTTCATACTGCTTTGGTTGGTTGTTAATCCCTTCGCAGGATTCTTAGCTGCATCCCTGGCCTCTGCCCACAAGACACCAGCACAACCATCCTCCTCCCTCAATGTGACAACCTAAATGTCTCCAGAAGTGGCAAAATGTCCCCTGGGGAAGGTGAGACAAAATTGGCTCTAGTTAACAATCACTCCCCTAACATTTAAAAATATAGAATTAAGGGGGGAAAACGACACTGATAGACTGAAAATTATAATTCTTAAACACACAGTTCAATTTTTGGATAATTATCTGTTGACTCCTTGTCATGAAAGATAAAAAAATTGACACTTTTGATTCCTTCCATATTTCTTCCCTCCAACCTCTGATATTGGTTAGCCATCATTTTTGTTTTCAAGATTTCACATCTTTACATTTTGTTCTCTAATTCTAATTCCAATAATTAGTAACTATTCAAATAAATTCAGATTCACTTCATGTCCTTTGTCACTGCTTCTCCATTCATTCCCGAGTTTGTGAAGTTGATGTTCAACGAGATTTCTCCTGCTGTCTCAGAGTTAAAGCCTCCAGACTGTGCATAGGCACAAAGTGCTCTCATGTGCTAAGGGGAAGTACTGTACTAAGGAACCCCAGATATGCCCCCAGAACTGACCAGAGAGATGGTAGGTCCAGCGCTACTATTACCTCACACCCCAACCTACATATGCAGAAGACATCAAGAACTCAAGGTTGTGGGGTTAGCCAGGAAGAATGTGCTGTGCTCTGCCTTCTTGACACTCACTCACAGACACACACACACACACACACACACACACAGAGCAAATGTGGGGATGATGCAAAAATCATAGGTAGAGATTTGTAGTACCTGACAAAATCTGAAACAAACTTCTCCTTCCCTTTTGAGCATCTACTTCTGTGGAATACTTGCTGATCTTCTGCCCTGGGTCTAACTGAGAAAAAGAGATCTGGAAAAAAGAAAGCAAGGCAGAGAGTGCAGGTGGTGGTGGAGCCACCCATACTGCAGAAATTTAAGTCACAAGACTCATGAGTTTCCTGAAGGTCAAGTGCCCACAGAGTAGCCAGTTTGAGCCATCTCAGTAGTACCCTGTCTACAGGGACAGCCTGCCAAGCAAGGGGATTCCACAGTGAGAGGCTGTGCAGTAGACCACTAGAGACGGGAGCTGAGCCGAAGTCAGAAAAGGTCTCACCAGAGCATCACTTGGTTGTCTGGGCAGGAGGAGGTCTTTGAAAGCTTCTCCCAAAGAACTCATGTGTACACATCTTGAGAATGCCAGCATGTAGACCTCAGTCACACAGAGTGAATCAGGGGAGACAGCAACCTAAAAAACACCCAAAGGGACCACCTCAGTGATATTTGTCCCATTTCCTCCATATCTCCTTCTCACCACAATACACCAAAGGAGACAGAGACTCAGAAAAAAGAAGGCACAAGGGAAGGGAGATAAGGGAAGGAAGAAGAAAGAAACTTGCAATGGATGTGCAACCTTGGCATAAAAGGAAAGAAAATGAGAATTAAATTGAATATGAGATAACAGAAGCTTCACTGGATTTTGAATACTTGAAACTATGGGAAATCTAATGGGATCAGACCGAGATATTGTCAAAAGAGCAAGAAAGAAAGATTTAGCTAGGACAGTTTGAAGACAGTGTTGGAGAAAATGAAGAAAGATTTTATCCTTGGATATTTCAAATTCAACCCATTCAATAAACTGGCTATATTTATTCTGAATCATCCCTTGATGCATTGGATCTATTTTTCCCAAGGGCTTCTATGCACTGTAGTGCCTAAGTACTTGCATTATTGAGATTATCTGTTGCCTTTAGACTTGAACTTGCATGGTTAATAAATTATTTGGTAACATTTTGTTTTCTTTAAAACTTTGTTGGCATTCCTTCACCATCTTTTGGCATTGAACATTGCTATGAAGAAGTCTGAAGTCAGCCAGATTTTCCTCTTATTTGTGATTTAATTTCTTTTCTTCATGCCCACATAAATCTTTCTCTATCTTGTATTCAGTAACTTTTTCAGGATATGGCTTGGTGTTGATTGTGTTCTGTCAGTCTTTACTGGATCATGCTGTTACCCTTCAGTGTGCTGATTCAGGTTTTTATTGCAAGAAACTGTTGTCATTTATATTATTGAAATCATTTCTGTTCCATCTGTTCAGTTCTCTTTTTCAGAAATGTCAATTAGTTTATGTTGGATCTCCTTTGTTTTTCTTCCATATCCAGTACTTTGTCTATAATCTTTTTATGTCTCTGCTTTTTTCCATTTCATTTTGGGCGATGTTGTCAAACCTAATACTATATATGTATACATATGTATACACACACACACACTGTTATCAGTCAGGTTTATTTTTTCTGTATTGTTTCTCTCTTCCATTTCTCCTAGATACATTGGAATTGGGGAGCAGGAAGGAGACATTGTAACTTTCTCACTGGAAATGAAACATTTGATTTATTGAATGGCATTTTCCATGCAACATTCAAAAATTCCTAGAAGACAAAGTGGACAGAGATGAAGATCATCATGTCCAACGCTTCAATTTATCAATAACCAGAGAAAAGGTAAGAATTGATCCCTAAGCAAGAGTTCCCATTATATCAGAATATATATATATTTTCCTCTCCCACAGGAAAAAAAGTGAATAGATACAGGAACAAGCTACCTTCCTGATTAAGGGATAGGAAAAACACCTTAGCAGAGAAGCCCTTTCTCAGTCTTTAGTAAAGGAAGCGCATAGCCAGTGCAACTTGCTTCGATCAGGTATTTTTCACAGGAGCGGATGGAGCTTGCTGCAGTGCCCACGGACTTCTCATGTAGAAGGGGGAGCAGCACGGTCCACCTCCTCTGCTGCTTCAGGCTGCACTGAGCCCACCTCAAATGTTACTCCCTCCACAAACCTTCTCAGATTCACCAAGATGTGATTCATTCCTCTGTCCTTGGGAACGTTGTTTACAACTACCTCCAGCCTCTGTCAGTGCTTGCCCGAACACCACACATCTAGAGACACTGTTATGTTATGTTATGACTGGAAGGCAGGAGCCAGGGGCTCTCAAATGGCTATTTAACATATCGGGAATGTGTGCTAGTGAGGGGACTGCATTCTACTTCTAGGAGTCCCTGACCCTTCGTGTTCCATGGACACTTTTGGCAAATTGGTGAAGCCATGAACCCTTTCTCAAAATAACACATTTAAATCAATAAAATAAACATAATAAGATAATAAGAAAATCAATTTTTTGAAGTACAGTTATCAAAATATTTTTAAAAACAGATTTGTGATGGAGTTATAGATATGCTTCTATAGTAACACGTTAAATAACACATTTACACATTAACATGTTAAATCAATCTGGCAGCAGATTTAATAACTATCATAATTTCTAAGTAGCAATGAGTATAAATGATTTTTCAAGATATTTGCAACAATTGTAATATATATGAAAATAATTGATTTCTATTGGTAACAAAGTTACAGGTACTGCTAATACTACTGTGATTCTTTTTTTTTTTTTTGCTTATGTTTATAATTGAAAGAAATGATAAATTTTGGTTAGAGATTAATGGATATAGAGATGTAATTTTTCCTCTTCAAATTCCCTGACCCTCCCCTCTGAATTCTCTCCATGAACCCCGAGTTAAGAATCCTGTGTTACAAAATCACCATTCCAATTGGAGATGCCAAGAATATATGTCCCTACTGGAACAGCAAGCTGTTAGAGGTATCCCCAGCAGCTGGCACAGGAGTTACTGGTTGTAGGAAGAAGCAGGGAAGAAAAGCTTGGTTGGGCTTCCAAGGGGTCCAGAGCAAGAATGGGGTTTCAAGCAGATGGGTGCGAAAGGGAACGACGACCCAAGAGAATGAATAAGGAACCTAGGCTTGCAGAAAAGTCTGGTGACAGTGATGATAAAAGGACTTTTCCTTCTGTTTCCACTACTTTCTCCTTTTTTTCCTCTTTTTCTCTTGATCCCTCTCTTTCTCCTTACAGTAGCAAGAACAGGAGGTAGGGCAGTAGGTTCTTGCAGAAGTTTCCCTGTTATGGCTATTAAAAAGTATAGAATAGCAGGTCCTTCTCTTAGGATAATTCCCAAAAAAAATGACATAAAACAGACAATAATATTGTCAGAGCTGCGTATCACAGTTGTATTTAAAGTTACAAAATGTTATTATACCATTAAAATGTCATCAATGAGGAAATGACAATGAGCTGAGATAGCACAAGACACAACAAAGATCAGATTGTCAAATAGGACTCACACACATCAGACATCTTACTCCGTGCCAGGCTTTACTGACAATTTCAAGGATGCATGAAGAAGCACAAGTCCAGAAGGGAGAGGTCTAGGACCCCGAGTGGTACTCCCTGGGTCTTTTTCTTCCTGTATCCAAGGAACTCTGGCCTGAGCAATAGATGTGGTCTCTAAGAACAATATCAGCCGCTTTACTTACCCAGGAGCTGCTGCTTAGTTCAGGAAACATTTGAAACATCTCCATTTTATAATCAGATATTTACATAATTTACATGACATTGTCCAGAGAGCCATGTCCCATAAACCCTTAGATTCCAGGTTTGTTTACCTAAGAAATCCTTCACACCAAAGTACATTCTGCTAAAAGCATTCCATGGACAAGGACTCTCCTGCTAGCAAAAACCATATGGTTTATTAGGAGGTCTGTCACTCATGTCTTTACAAGATTAGATTTACTTGCCATCTTTCTTACCTAGGAACACGCTCCTTCCTCGGGAAAGGGAGAGAATGGATCATAGACCTGCTGCTTCCAAAGTATTAATATGGAATACTGTGTCCAGGTACTTTCTATAAAGTTATAAAAGTTTATATTGACAAAGGAAAATACTTTTGATATATTAATCAATGACAAGAGCAATAATAAGCTATAGTATTTGCATCATTATCTCAATTATGTAAAAAATTACAGAAAAATTGTAAGATTATAATATGCTTAAGAATCTAGGTAGCACATTAGTGCATCGAATTTGAAAGCAACCTGATTCAAATTCAAACTGGTTTAGCTGTTCATTGCTATGAGATCTTGGGCAAATTAATCTGTTTCCTCAGTTGTAAAGGAAGAAATGGAACTTACCTGTCAGGGTTTCTGTGCATGGTAAGTAGATACATCAACCACAGATGTTCCAGATTTGAATGAAATGCAATACCACAGGGCCTGGAAATTCACATTCTGGCAGGAATTAACCCTCAGTCAAACAAACTTTGACCCAGAAGAGAAAAGGACATAGAAGGAATACGAGAAAATAAATTGCCCAACTTTTTGCTCTCTAATCAACTACTCTGAGGCATGATTTCTCTACAGAGACCTTCTAGAAAAGCCCCACATAGTCTTGCAACACATCTACAAAGTGCCACGGTCTGTGTTTATGACAGAGCAGTAAGTGCTGTAACTGCATTCTTTCACATCTTCCCTTGCCTCACATTTTCTTTACTTTTGCTGCCGTGGGTTTGTGCCTTCCAAATAAATTATCAGTACTTTATTCTTTGCCTCGGGTCCTGCTCAGCTTTCTGGGAAAGCTGATCTAAGACAGAAGATAATTTACATAAAGTGTTCAGCATATAAACCCTCAGAATAGTGTATGGGTGTGTAATGATGTGAGGAGAGTGCGGGCACACATGCACATGCCTTAGAACACATGCAATACTCATGTTGTATTTTGGGTCTTTATAAATGCCTCTGTACAATAACATTTAAACAGAGTAACTTTTTGTTTCCTATTCCTACTTCTGACCCCATTTCTTCCTATAAATAAGGTAGAAACCAATCACATTAATTTTAACCAACACTGAAATTGCCTCCAAACTATGAATTGTTAAAATAAGTTATAAATCACAAGTCTGGTATATAAGTGAGTCAGGACAATATCATGGTTAAAAGCACAAACGTTAACACCAAACAGTCATGGATCAGAATCTGAATTCTATGTGATCTGAGGGACATCAACCTTGTAGAGACTCTTTCCTCATCTGAACACTGATGAAATTAATACCTTCCTCTCACGGTTGTTGTAGGTTTGAATTAAATAATGAACAAAAAGTTTTTATCACAGGATCTTTACCTAATATAAGTGAACTTATTATCAAAAATGCCATTTGTAATATAACATTCCAAATAAAGCTATAGTAACATTTTAAAATGTGTTAATGGGTTCATGCCTGTAATCCCAGCACTTTGGGAAGCTGATGAGGGAGGATCACTTGAGGCCAGGAGTTTGAGACCAGCCTGGGCAACATGGTGAGACACTGTCTCTACAAAAAATAAGAAACTTAGCTGGGCGTGGTGACACGTGCCTGTGGTCCCAGCCACTTGGGAAGCTGAGGTAGGAGGATCGCTTGAGCCCAGGAGTTGGAGGCTGCAGTTAGTGCCACTGTACTCCAGCCTGGGCGACAGAGTGAGACCCTGTCTCTTAAAAAAAAAAAAAAAGTGTTAATGATGCATAGGAGTTGGGCTGAAAATGGACTAATGCATTCATGGGTTATGTTCTAACATTTGCGTGTAGTCCAGGGAGGATCCCAAGTCCTGAGGCACACGCCGGACCTGTCATGGAGCGCGAGTGAAGCATGCTGACGCACAACACGCAGGGGGATGGGAAAGCAGGGCAGCAAGGGCAGGTTGGGCAAGGCCTGAGCCTGGGGAAACCAACCCAGACCCAGGTCCGGTCTTCTGGAAACATCTCTGGAGGCTGCTAGAGGGAGCAGAACCCACCACTTTCCCCTTACGCACCAGGGCCCTGGCCACGTGGACTAGGATTCCTGAGTTTCCAGTCCCAGTTTATGCAGTACAATGCCAGATGGGAAAACTGAGACAGCACTTCCCCACTCCTCAGGGTGAAGCCATTGTCACAGAGCTCAGGCGCGCTCTGGATGTCCCTCCAGCCGACAAGCCAGCATATCTCAAGCAGCCCATCTAATCACAGATGCCAGGGGTCTGAGGCTACTAAGACAGCTCCCCGACTTGTCTGGATTAATGCAGGGTAGGGCTGAATTTGCAGATAGAAGGAATGTAACGATTCAGGTAAGACACCTAAGAGCCACAGAGTGTGATAAATAGAGCACATCAGGTGAGAGACGCCAGCAAGCCACACACTTACTGAAGAGGATGAGATGGCCAGAAGTCTCAGCACACCCACGACCAGCTCACCTTAGGAAGCCTCACATCCTTCCTGTCGTGTGTAAGATCAGAGCAAGTCTAAGCTACAACCCTGAGCTGCAGCCTCCAAGGACATTGGGATCTAACCTATGCTAGTGCCAACTTTCTGCGGGGACATTTTAAACCCAAATCTTACTGGATTCTTGTCCAAAATAAATCTCTTAGGAAATTGTGGCCTAGAATCCTATATTTTTTTGTTAACAGAGAGTCTTTGGATTCTTTACCTTTTTCAAGCAGAAGCAGTATATCGTAGAACAAAACTTCAGACTCTCTTCCACTCCCAACAAATACTTCAAAACTCAGTATCATTTGCATCTTTTCACATCAGGATATCATCCATCTCATGGCTTAACATGATGAGATGATGCTGGAGGACATTATTATTTCATGTTTCTATTCTGAGAAAGATGTCTCTCTTCAACTTAACTACTAGCTGACAAAAATAATGTTGAACATCTGCAAGAGATAAAACAACTTGAATCCAATTTCCTTTCACATAGATTAAGAGCCCCATTCTCCTGTCACTTATGTAGCATATAACTCAATTTTTTGCAATATTTAAATGAGAGGCTAGTTTTTCAGGTCTGTCATGGGGATGACATAAATTTTTTATTTTGTCCCTTCCACTGATGTAGTGGATATATGAGACCCTGTCAGAATGTGGCAGCTCAGAAAAGAAAAGGGGAATCACACACCATAAGACAGAAGGATCAATAAAAGGTAGAGGCCGTAAGAAAATCACCTCTTTTAAGAATACAAATAAGTAAATCACACCAATGAGATGTGTCCTGTTGGGAAATGTGACTTTCAAATGGAACCTAAGTCACCTTCATGTATCAAAGAGTTAACGATGTATCATTTTGATTAATTTCACAGGAAAGATACCCAAACACATATAACAATTTGGACTAAGTAACTGAAAAGTTCAAGGGTGATCCTGGCCTCAGGTGACAGCTGATCAAGAACTTATTCAAAGTCACCAAGATCAACTTTATCTTTTGGCTCCATTTTTATGTCTCTGTGTTCATTTTATTCTCAGACTTTCTCAAAATGGGAGAAAGCTGGTTACAACAGCTCCAGGCTCAAGTGTGTTAAGTAGAGTCAACTTGTTGGGCCATTTTCAGGGTCAAGTTAGGAAAACATCAAACACTCTAGGTGTTTAAAGCAGAGGGTATTTAACTCAGGGGATTGGTTGCATGGGTGATAAGAGGAACCGAGAACCAAAAAGGAAGAAATGCAGAAATCAGGAACAGTGATAGGAAGCCACTAGCACTCTTGGGGCTTGTCAGACAAAGGGAGAAGTGGTATTACTGGGACCTAGAAACATCTAGAGCCACGACAAGTCTGTCACAGAAAAGTTAGTCATAGAGGAGAAATAGCCACAATGGAGACACTGCCTCAGGCAGAAGGGAAAAGAGTGATTGATTACCCTGGATTCAAGATTTAAGCATAAAATGATTGCATTTCTCTGTCATAATTACCTTCAATCAATAATCTGTTGGATTTCCTTTCCCTGATCAACAAACAATTCCTTAACAATGTCTTGGGCAGATTCCCCTTACTCAGTGATCAGTTTCAGTGATAAACCTCTGTCCAGTGCCCAAGCAGCATGAGTTGGCACACTGCTGGGGCTGAGGGCTTACTCGTGAGCAGTTAGCAACCAAGACCACAGGGAACTCTCAACTAGCACAGGTAGGGGGTAGGCAGACAGGAGAAATCTCAATCCTTGGTGGACCCGCCGGTGGAGCTAATGCGAACTCCTGGCCTGCACACAACCAGGGCTTGGGGAGAACTTTCAGCCTGAGGGGTCTGGTGCGAGTCACGTGCTGGGCCAGTGAAATCTCCCTGGGGTTGGAGTGGGGGGACTCTCAATACATGGGTGGTGGGAGTGGCAATTCTCAGCTGGTGTAGACAGACATGAGTCAGCAGCACAAGGCCGAGGAGATGGCACATGTGATCTGGAGACTGATCACACACAAGGGACTGAATAAGCATATTGAGGATAATAGGAGACAGGATTCTCACTGTCTTCAAATATGGAAAGGGTGAAGGCCAGAATAAGCCATGTGATATCAGATTGCAATTGGAGGTATCTGTATGAACTAATGATTGTAATATGCAGAGATAGAAAACTATAGAAATAACTATAGACATGCAAGTGTGAATGCACACATACACCTATTTTCTAGCTCTCTGTCTGTTGAGAGGGCCCAAAAGCAACACTTCAGTTGCAGTGAGCACAGCTAGCACACAGACTTCGTTTTTTATAATAAATATCATCATTCACAAAAAAGAACCAGGGGTCCTTGGAAGAATGGTTGATTCCAGGACTGGGACAAGAAAAATACAAAATAAGCCTAGAACACCATGTGCCAGAATGTAAGGACGTTTTCAAAGAATGATAAGGACATGTTAAAAGGATATAGGAGTCAAACTGAAGGGGCTCCCACTGGCCAAATCTGGAACAAATTGAGTGTTAAATAATGATAGTATTGATAATACATTGAATAAAATTGGAATCCATGGATCCATCAAATATAAATAAATAAGTACATACCTAAGCAAATGGGGCAAAGAAAAAAGTCTACCTTATAGTAGATAGACAACTAATAAATGTAGAAGAAATAATGGAATTATAAAATTGCTATTTGTTAACCAATATAGTAATAATCAATTTGGACAAGAATCATCAGTGAATGCTTAAACATGTGAGTGAAAATTTGATGAGGAACAGGATATTTACATAGTCTCAAAGCATCTTACAAAACCCTTATTAATTACTTTTCCTGCAAATGAACTAGCAGATAGTATCTTATCCAAATGGAAAAACGTTAATGTCACCAGCAACAGAACAAATCAACTCATGTGTATCCTGTCACTTCTGTGGTATTCCTGGAAAAAACTCATTATGCTAATCTAATCCTGAGGAAACATCAGATAAACCCAAATTTAGGGACATTCTACAAAGTAACTGGCTCAGATACTTCAAAAATATCAAGGCCTTGAAGGGCAAGGAAAAACTTAAG